GGTTGTGCATGACTACTAATCCATGAACTTTGAATTCCAGAATGAGAACCTTATGTTAGTGACTGACTGTGAAGAACCTGGACCATATGAAGGACTTGAGAAAGCATCCCGATGGACTATGGTTTTTGATGGAGCTTCCAACACACATGGAAATGGTATCGGTGCTGTAATCATTATCTCTCGAGGGCTGTCATACTCCCTTCACCACCAGATTATGTTTCAACTACACCAACAATATGGCTGAGTATGTAGCATGCATCATGGGTCTCAAAGCTTCTATTGACCTAAGGATCAAGTTCTTGAGCGCTTTCGGGGATTCAGCCTTGGTAATAAGTCAAATCAAAGGGGATTGGGACACGAAGAACCTAATCGCATCCCTTACAAAGATCATGTGATGAGATTACTTCCACACTTTGAAGAGATCAACTTTAAACATTTTCCACTAGAAGAGAACCAGTCAGCGGATGCGCTAGCTACTATGTCATCTATGTTCAAGGTCAGATGGGACAACGAAGCTCCTCGGATCACTATTGAGAGGTTGGATAAACCAGCATACTGCTTTGAGATTGATGTTGAAGAAGTAGCAGACAAACCTTGGTTCGATGAATTCAAAAGGTATCTCGAGGTTCAAGAATATCCTAAGGGAGCATCCTTCAATGATAAGAAGTTTCTGAGAAGGTTCTCCGCAAATTCCTTCCTCAGTAATGGAATCCTCTACAAACGCAACCACGACTCTACTTTACTTCGCTGTGTAAACAAGAGCGAAGCAGAGAGGATTGTGGTAGATTTACATGAAGGTACCTTTGGTAGCCATTCTAGTGGACACACCATGGCTAAAAAGATCCTACGGGCAGGATACTATTGGTCCACTATGGAAGCATATTATTATCAACATTCCCGAACATGTCACAAATGTCAAATATATGCTGATAAAGTACATGTACCTCTGGTTCCCTTGAACATCTTGACGGCTCCCTATCCCTTTGCAATGTGGGGCATTGACATGATTTGAGAGATTAGACCTACCGCTTTCAATGGGCATTGCTTCATCCTAGTAGCCATTGATTACTTCATGAAGTGGGTTGAGGCTGCCTCTTTTGCTATTGTTACCAAGAATGTTGTGGGGCGATTCATCAAGCATAAACTTATCTGTCGGTATGTTGTGCCATAGATAATCATCATAGATAACGGTACAAATCTCAATAATACGATGATCACCGAACTCTATAAAAAATTCAAGATCCATCATCATAAATCTTCCCCTTACCGGCCAAACATGAATGGCTCTGTGGAAGCTGCTAACAAGAATATTAAGAAAATCATACAGAAGATGACGGTGACATACAAAGACTGGCATGGGATGTTACCATTTTCTCTTCATGGTTATCGCACCTCAGCACGTACGTCAACAGGGGAAACACCTTATTCTCTGATGTATGGTATGTAGGTTGTCCTACATTTTGAGGTCTAGATCCTTTCTTTGAGGATCATGAAGGATGCGGGTTTGAACGAAGATGATTGGATCCAGACTGGACTTGACCAACTGAATCTGATTGATGAGAAAAGGCTTACTGCTGTCTGTCATGGTCAGATGTACCAAAATCGAATGATCAAGGCTTTCAACAATAAGGTCAAACGTCAGGTATATCAAGTGGTGATCTAGTAATCAAGCACATCATCCTGCCACAAGGTGATCCCCGGGGAAAATGAACTCCCACATACGAGGGGCCATTTGTAATCAAAAGCATATTTTCTGTTGGAGCGATGATTCTAACCACCATGGATAGTGACAGCCTTCTTCTCCCTGTGAATGCAGACATAGTGAAAAGATACTACACATAAATAAATACCCGTTGGGTTCACTGGCCTAGGCAAGAATAAGGGCATCCCGGCCAACCAAAAGGGTTCGGGTAAAAAATAGGGATAAATACAAAAAAATTTGTACACCCGACAAGTCGAAAACCTGAGAAGGAGGCTTGGGCAAAAAAGGGTATCCCGGTGGACTGAAAACCCGAAAGGGCGGTTCAGGAAAAATTTAGGGCTTTTAAGAATATAACTATGTCCCATTGGATCACCTTGCGACTAGACTTCAATATCAACTATCAAGCTCAAACGGTACTGTAGCGGTGAAAATCGGAGATCAAGCTATTAATTAACTTGACTCACAAAAGCAAGAGTCGCCACCGCGCTTTATTATTTCCAAGGGAAAAGGGAAAAGTGCGAAATAAAACCCTAAAATATGCAATGTAAAATAATACTTAAAAGTAATGAAAATACAATGCGTTTTTAAAAGAGATCGAGAGTTTGGGGGTTGGTTATACAATGGGAAGGTATTAGCACCCAATGCATCTGCGGTACTCCGCAGGAACCTTTTGAAATATCTGTTTTTTTGGTTAAAATTGTTTGTTTGATTAAAATGATTCGTTTGGCTAAAAGATGGGTATGGACGAGATTTTTGAAGATACGACGACCTAGTGTCGAAGTTTTGACTTAAAAGGTGTGAGTTTGAAAATGGAGTTTTTTTGGGAAAATTATCTTAAGTTTTAAAAAAATAGTAAATAAGCAAAAAAAAATGAATGAGGGTATTCGCACGATCGGATGAGATGTGTTCGATGACATGAAGTCAACAAATTTAATTCTTTCCCTTGGAGTAAGCAAAATAAAATGAACATCAAAATATAAATATTCAGAAGTTCACAAGAAAATAAATCTGACAAAAACAAATTAATGGTCAAGAGGCACCGAGAAATTGAAATGACAAAGATATTTAAATAAATAAAGTAAAAGAGAATATAACTAATTATCTAAAGAAGTTATTTAAACTATATTAAAAATTTAAGATTACTTACTAAAAAATTCTAAACTAACTACAAATTCTAAGGTTGCAAAAAAAGTTCTAAAATTACTAAATTAAATCTAAGCTAAATTAAACATTTTAAAATTAGTAAATTAAATCTAAACTAAATAAAAATTCCAAGGTTGCTAATCTAAAATAAAAAAGTTTCAAAGTTACTAAACTAAATCTAAATCAAATAAAATTCTAAAAGAATATTAAACTAATTCAAAACAACTAAAATCCTAAACTTATTAAACTAATTCTAAATAGAATAAAGTTCTAAAGTCCCTAAACTAAAACTAACAACTAAAATTCTAAAGTTAACTTAAATAAAATCAAATAAAATTCTAAAGTTTACTAAATTAAAACTAAAACAAATAAAATTCTAAAATTTACTAAGTCAAATTTAAATGAAATAAAATCCTAAAGTTACTAAAATAAAACTACAACAAAATAAAATTCTAAAGTTTACTAAGTCAAAAACTAAAACAAATAAAACTCTAAAATTTACTAAATTAAAACTAAACAAATAAAATTCTAAAATTTACTAAGTCAAATCTAAATGAAATAAAATCCTAAAGTTACTAAAATAAAACTAAAACAAAATAAAATTCTAAAGTTTACTAAGTCAAAAACTAAAACAAATAAAACTCTAAAATTTACTAAATTAAAACTAAACAAATAAAATTCTAAAATTTACTAAGTCAAATCTAAATGAAATAAAATCCTAAAGTTACTAAAATAAAACTAAAACAAAATAAAATTCTAAAGTTTACTAAGTCAAAAACTAAAACAAATAAAACTCTAAAATTTACTAAGTCAAATCTAAATGAAATAAAATCCTAAAGTTACTAAAATAATACTACAACACATAAAATTCTAAAATTTACTAAACTAAAGCTAAAACAAAAAGTTATAAAATAAATCTAAATTAATACTAAACTAAATTAATTCTAAACTAAAGATTAAAATTCTAAGACTAAATTAAAATTCTAACGTTATCAAAATGTATCTAAACTAATTGGAAGTTCTAAAGTTATAAAATAGATCTAAACAAATTAAAAAATTTAAGTTATCAAAATATACCTAAACTAATTAAAGGTTCTAACATTACTAATTTATATCTAATTAAATTAAAATTCTAAAGTTATTAATTATGATTCTAATATTTTAAAGTTATAAAATACATCTAAACTAATTAAAAAATTCTAAATTAATACTAAACTAAATCTAAATATAAGATTTACTAATATTTTTTATATTTTTTTAATTAATTAAAACTAATTAACCTAAATAAATAATTAACTTAATTAACTAATGAAATATGTTAAATAAATTAAAGCTAAACTAATCAAATAAATAGTCTTGGGGTACATAAGTAAATTAGGGGGGGTTAATATGGCTAGATTAACATTAGGATTAAGTCCAGAAAGAAATACTAAACTTAACCTAAATTTTACTAACTCTAATAAACTAAACAATAGAAAAAAAACAAGAACACAACAGCATGTTAGAGGCTGCGCCTCTTTTACCTCAACAGTTAGAAAGAAAATAACTTAAAGCTTCCTACTTTGACTTCTCAAACCTCATCGTGAGCCAATAGCAGACTTCCTCTTCGTCTCTTAACCATTCTTCTTGATCTAGAATTCGCGGTAGAAGATTGACAAACTGATGGCAGAGTTTTTGAAACTGGCAGCGGCACGGTGGTGTTGACGGAAGCTAGAAGAAGGTGGATGGTGGACTGAAGGAGGGTGAGGGACGGAATTGCAGGGGTATGGCGATGTGGTTTGTGGAAAATGAAGTGAGGAATTTGGGAACGGCATGTGGGTAACAGAAGGAGGCAGAATGGGTTAGCGCTAGAGGTTGGGATGGGTTGTTGATGATTGGTGATGTTGCGTTTTTTCTTTGACAGAATGTGAAGGTGATGATAATGGAAGGTGGGTGGAGTTGTTGTGTGGTGAAGAGAAGGGGGTTATGCTTTGGGTCGTCATCAAATACTCCGTCAACATTTGTAACTTTGAGTACAACCTCTGCATTAATTTCCGTACATCTAAGTGATGCGGCAGTGTCTGTGGTAAAGAATGGATTTCCAGTTCCAGCAGCAAAAATGACAACCTTTCCTTTTTCTTGTGTTTTGAAGGAAACAATTCAATTCAAGTCACTGCTACTTCCTACGACCATACGTGTCTTCAACACCATCTGTAATCCTTTCTCTGCGCTCAGCAATCATAGCTGAATAAGCCTTGGGATAAGAATAAAGAAAGATGTACCACCATGCAAAAATGAGTAGGGATATGGCTGAAGTAACAACAACAGATTGAAAAACCAACCAACTAATAGCAACAATTGAAACCCCTGTTAGTGCTATTGTCCATGGCTGACACCAAGCTGGTTTGGTGTCCCAGACAGATTCGTATTCGAGGGAAAGGTTATTGAGGTAACCGTCCATGTCATCGACCACCGCATGGTTTTCGTCCAAGAAGAGGGGATTGTCTCGTCTTGAGTCGCTGGGATTGATACCGTGCACTGGAGATGGTTTGTTGGTTGAGGAGTTTGTGAAAATGGGAGTAGAGAAACTGTGGATGTGAGAGTGAGGTGCAACGTTGGAAAGAGAGAAGAGGTGGAAATGGGTTGTTTACTGCTATGCCTTTTTTTTGTTTTTGGAGAGAGGGTTTACTGCTAGTAGAAAAATGGGGATTGAAAGTTAGATAAAAGTACTGCTATGTTTTTTGTTTTCTCCCTCTTGCTCTTCACCATTTGCTTATGTTTTTATAGTGAATGTATGATAGAATCGGAGGGAAAATTGGAGCCAAATATCACTTGAATTCTACTTTATGTCAACTGCCTTATGCTTTCTTGATGCAGGGATTTATGATTTCATTTTGGGCAAACTTTTTGGACAGCAAAGGTAGTAAAAAGGTTGTTTGCAGACTGGTTTTTATGCAGGTTTTGGAGTGAAGTAGCAGCAAGTTTTGTTGTGTAGCATGTTTGGGTTTTATGGACAGTTAGGATAGGGACAATAGCATGGTTTTGGACTAATTTTATTGTTTGGACATTTTTTACAAGGAGAGGAATAGCATAATAATAACAATAATAATAACATAAAATAAAAATAAAAAATATTAAACTAAAAATTTCCAAAACATGAAAATTAAAGAGAAATTAAAATTAATTTTAATTTTAATAATAACTCAACTAAAAAGTTGAATTAAAATTAGAACCAAATCAAGATTAATATTGAAAGAAAGAAAATGAAAATTATAATAACTAAAAGAATTAAAAGGAAAAGATATTAACTATATATTTTTTGTGATTAAAGTGAAATGCTAAAAATAAAATAATGCTAAGACATTTTTTTGTTGAGATTTTTACTAAATTAAATCTAGAAGACTATAATTTTGACTTAAGAATAAAATCTAAATGAAACTTGAAGAGACTACTTTTTTTTTATATTTTGAATAATAATGTAAATAAAATTAAGATGACATGAACTAAATATATTTTTTTTTATGATTTTTCATGGAATTAAAAATAAAAGAAGAGAAAGTGTAAAATTTATGGTCGGACAAAACATAGTCCAAAATTAAGAATCAAATTCCTGAAACGACTTCTAACGTTAACAATTTTTCGTGGCTTCTCAATGCATAATTTACCCTTGACTTGTAAAGAAAAGTTGTAGATGATGTCAAGGAAAATCATGTGCAAAAACAACCGCTCAAAAATATCAAAATTTGAAGAAGTTATGTAAATTTTAAAAAATAATTCGAGATCTGACAAAAATAGGTCGAATCTCCTATGAACACTTGCTATGTAATGATGTAGATGGGATGTGGTATCTTAGGTCAAAATTTTGGGTATGACAGCTGCCCCTATTTAAGTTTCTTCTATCTGGAGATATGAAGATTGGAATCTTCATTTCGACGAGATTGAAGGGACTTAAATATAGAATACATAATTTTTGGCCTTAAGATACCGCAATTATGTTTATGATATGAATGTAATATTTTGAATTTAATGAGGAACGATGCTGCATGAGACAAACTACTGTTGGAGAAACCAAGCACATTATACAATAATCCCACAGAGGAAGAGGTTGTAACTCCACTGGGGAAACAAAGTCATAGGCTTCAAATGAGAGACTCTTGAATGATTTACATCAGTATTGAGACTGGAAAAGGTAATGATTTACAACAGTACTGTGACTGGAAAAGCATATGATTGACATCAGTACTGTGACTGGAAAAGGAAATGATGGACATCAGTACTGAGACTGGAAAAAGTAATGATGGACATCAGTACTGAGACTGGAAAAAGTAATGATTTACAACAGTATTGTTACTGGAAAAGCATATGATTGACATCAGTACTGTGACTGGAAAAGGAAATGATGGACATCAGTACTGAGACTGGAAAAGGAAATGATGGACATCAGTACTGAGACTGGAAAATGATTGACATCAGCACTGTGGCTGGAAAACAAAATGATTGACATCAGCACTGTGGCTGGAAAACAAAATGATTGACATCAGCACTGTGGCTGGAAAACAAAATGATTGACATCAACACTGTGGCTGGAGATAAACATCTCTGATTTCTGAATTTTACCAAGAACGGTAACACATTTCTTCTCTAACCAAGATATCGCTTGAAAAGGATAAAATAACAAACTTCCCCACGGGACTTTTCCGAAAGGGATGCCATTTGCTGAGTAGACATTATTGTTGGGGATACACAAGCTGCTCAAATAAAGAGGCCGCCACTAGCTTCCTTTCAAAGGTGTCAATAACATACAAGCTGCTCATGAAGAGACCGCCACTTGATGTCTTCAAAGAATATTAAAGCACACAAGCCGCTCATGAAGAGTCCGCCACTTATTGCCAAAACCCACAAGCTGCTCATAAAGCTGCCACTTGCTGTCTTCCACAAATACTAACGTACAAAGCTGCTCATGAAGAAGCTGCCACTTGCCGTTTTCCGTACAAGGTGCTCATGAAGAGACCGCCACTTGCCGTTTTTTCAAAAAGTGTTGATAACATACAAGTTGTCCATGAAGGGACTGCCGCTTGCTGTTTCTTAAAAGTGTTGATAACATACAAGTTGTCCATGAAGAGACTGCCGCTTGCTGTTTCTTAAAAGTGTTGATAACATACAAGTTGTCCATGAAGAGACTGCCGCTTGCTGTTTCTTAAAAGTGTTGATAACATACAAGTTGTCCATGAAGAGACTGTCGCTTGCTTTTTCTTTTCAAAATTACCAATAACACACAAGTTGCTCATGAAGAGACCGCCGCTTGTTATTTTCTTTTCAAAATTACCAATAACACACAAGTTGCTCATGAAGAGACCGCCGCTTGTTGTTTTCTTTTCAAAATTACCAATAACACACAAGTTGCTCATGAAGAGACCGCCGCTTGTTGTTTTCTTTTCAAAATTACCAATAACACACAAGTTGCTCATGAAGAGACCGCCGCTTGTTGTTTTCTTTTCAAAATTACCAATAACACACGAGTTGCTCATGAAGAGACCGCCGCTTGTTGTTTTCTTTCAAAGATAACAATAACACACAAGTTGCTCATGAAGAGACCACCGCTTGATGTTTTCAAAGGTAACAATAACACACAAGTTGCTCATGAAGAGACCGCCGCTTGCTGTTTTCAAAGGTGACAATAACATACAAGTTGCTCATGAAGAGACCGCCGCTTGATGTTTTTCAAAGGTATCGATGACACACAAGTTGCTCGTGAAGAGACCGCCGCTTGCTGTTTGTCAAGAGTATCCGTAACACACAAGTTGCTCATGAAGAGACTGCCGCTTGCTGTTTTCAAAAAGATACCCATAAAATATCGTGAAGATATTGCTGGAGGGGAGAACCAATAATTTCATCGAGGATGGACAAACTGCTCATGAAGAGACCGCCATTTGTCGTAGAGAAATCAGAAATAATCAAACTGCTCAAATAAAGAGTCAGTCGCTTGTTGTCATGTTGATATTCCAGAAGAAGGTTGTGATAACACTGCTGGGGAATAAAGTTCATCTTCAATGGGGAACCATGAGTAAATCCTTCTTGAGGAGACCAAGTATTTACATTGCAAAATAAATGCACTCTCCATCTAGGTTTCACAGCCTAGAGAGATCCACAGGGTATCGTTCACAAGAGACAAAGCTCAATCCAGGAATAAACTGGAGAGAAAACAGTCAAACAAGACTCCACCCAATGAGGAAACAACTCAAATGGGGATTTATCCTATCCAGAGATGGAAAAGGAAAGCTAAACCAAGATTCTTCCACGAGAGTTAACTCAGTGGGGAATTAGAAAGGAGGCGCACTTTCTGCTTAAGTTGACACTCTATTTGGAAGGATCAAATACACTATTTGAATAGACATAACCAAGGTATACGAACTCAAAGATATCAACAAATATAAATGTGCGTGCATGATGCAAGTATGAACGAATGAATGAATGTCATGTATATGTTAACAAAACAGACAGGGGAGATAGGCAGAAGATGATAAGACGTCCCAGTACAACTCGACACTCGGCTAATCTCAACAGGATGGGAACATTACTGGAGATAAAACACAGGCCATCATTGGAGCAAGGTCCTTTTACAAGGCTTAAATCTCTTTGGAGAGGAAGATATTTTTAGGTAGGAAATCCAAAGTCCAGTCTTCTATTGTCGACAATCCATTGAAAGGATAACAACACGAACAAAGTTTCAGCTGGAAAGAAGTCTTGCTTAGCTGGAGATACTGGGAACACCACCCTCTGATAATGTGTGCAATACATATCACATATCTTGACAAATCTGGATTGCCCCTGGGACTAATTTTGGATGCCCCAAGTTTACTGTTGATAAGCTGGGTGCTGCACGACAATTCTTGCAAATAACTTCACTTCTAAAATGCCCCAAGCTATATGGCTGATGAGGAGAAATCGTCTCAAGAGGATTTTACAAAAGACCTGGCATCCACCATGCTCTGGTGTCTTCAAACTCTTAGAGAGATTCGTCAAATCTCGACGTGATTGCCCCGGATTGACTGTAGTTGGCACAACGAAGTCTTCAAATTTTTGCCCCAAAAGAGTAAACAAGTTGGGAAAGCATTAACTGGGAGAAGCAACATGTCCATGTTCAAGGTCTTTAGGTGACATGCCTCTGGATATGATTTTTCTTGAAATGATCCGCCAATTACTCAACATAGTTTCAGGCCTTAAAAGAATAAACTCATCACTGGTGCTTATGTGAGCTTCCTTGATATCAAACAAATGTTTTGCAGTTAGAAAATTTTATTATGAGAATGAAAATTCTAATGCAACAGTTATGTAAGTCTTGAAGATTTTGAAAAGATATCCCACAAATTTTGCGAGTTAGAGCACCATTATTTTTGTATAGGAAAAACATATGATACCAACATAACTATTTAGAACATTCATGGGAGTCAGGAACACTAT